TAAAAAAGTTATCAAAGTCTCTTACATCGGATACTGGGTGTGCTGAATTTCCAAGAACTTATTTATCACCTCTTTCTTTGAAAAGTCAGCTATCTTCCCACCGTCCATATGGTATGATGGGTGTTCATAACACCTACAATATTAAGAGATTGTCTACTCTTGCTCGTGTAGGAGGTGCAGGTTATAGGCAATTGGCAAGGTTCGATCACCAATCTAAACATTTTATGCAGGTCGTTGCCATCTATCATAAAACCCTGCTACCTGAGGATCTTTGGTTAGGCCACGGTTGTCTTTCTAATTCTTACTTAAGAAGCAAAATTATTTACTTATTGGGTAAGGAGATGGCCCCTCATGATTTGAAAATTTTACCTGATGATTGATTTAATCAGCCAGGTATGAAGGATTTTTTTGAATGGTCATGTTTAGGGGCTTGGGTGAAGCAGTGGCTTAAGTATATAAAATGGTATTGTTCTTTACCATTGTCTCCTTGTGTAACCATCCTGGATTTCTTTGATGTACCCGTGATCAACCATAACTGGAAGGTCACTAAGGCCAATCCAGATTTAATACCAGACGTTCCACCCATTAAATAAGATTTGGATTGATCTGGAAGGTCTATGATATTGTTGCCTTATTGGGTTCCGATTTCAAGGTACCTATCCTTTGAGCCATTGAAGAGTGATATTAATTATCCTTATTTAATGGGTAGAACATCTGGTACACAGTTCTTGGTGTGTTCCTTAGGTCTAGAGCAACCTAAGGCAGCAAGAAGGGTGGTCTTTCCTGGTTTAACAATCAAGGATTCTGCAACCCCTTTGTTGACCATCAAAATCTATAATAGAAATAGAATAAGGGGTTAAGTTACATATGTAAACATCAACTAGACTTTGGTGGTTCACAACCACCCACTTCTTTGAAACATCAAATCCAGTGTAGTATGAGTTCTACGTTAGTAAACAAAGAATTTGGTGATATCAGATCCTATGTCCAAAAGAGTAGCACCATTATCTGATCAGGCTAAAAAAAGATTGAAGGCCAAATGAGATATGAGAAAAGGTTTAAACGACAATAAGGGCACTTACTGAGGAGACAAGACCGGAGGGTGGAAATTCTCAGATTTCATCATTACTTTTACATGAAAACATGCTATATGTGTTTGCTGAGTAATCAAGTATAAATACAAACAATTTTCAAGAAAACAATAAGAGCTTTTATTCTTTTCATTCACTATTGTTTCCTAAGTATTGTTTTGATTTTTCATTACTTCGAATTTATTTATGTATAAATATTGGATTTAAGAAATAAAAACTAGAAATTATTTTTGTTTATCAAAGGAAGCCTAAATTTTTTCAGATGTCATAAAAATAATTCATTTGTTCCAAACATACTCTTAGAAAATTTTCTTTTTGTCATTCTTATTTTGATTTTTTCCCTTATTAATTATAATTAGGGTTTTAATAGGTGTCTATATACTAACCTAGTCAACATACACAATGTTGAATTGGATTCTACTCCTCGTCACTGTTTCCAGTCTTGTTCTTTCTAGCCTATTTATTCCATCTCTCTCCCTTGTATTTCTTCATCTTCTCTGAATCTCTCTATTATTCTTCTATCTCTCACCTAATTGTCTTTAATTTTATGTTATCTAGGGGATAAATTTTTATCAAATTCCTACTTATGTTCAAAATTGAAGTTGGTTTTGTTTATCTTACAAAGGCATAGGAAAAGATGCATTATTATTTAATTGTCTATGTTTGGTCATACGTCAGTATAAGTAGTTCTGATTTTGCAGCATCTTCTTCAATGGTGTCAGTGACATATTTGCCTTATCCTATTTGCTATTATTTGCCATACAGTTCTAGAAAGATGTGGGCTTCTCTAGGATTTTAATGCATGTATGGATACGGCCTGCCATTTCCTTGTTACTTTTAAGCTATTAATGATTTTAGTCTTATTTCCTTATCTAATGCAGGGAAAAATGAGTTGTCTGATGATTAATGACATTGATGCTGGCCTTGGTAGATTTGGTGAGCCACATTCAGATTCTGAAGTAAAATACTTAATTTGAATTGTTTATCCTAATATACTTCCCTGTGTCGACAAATATTCTTCAATTTTAAACTGAAGAAAGTTATAAAATGATAAAAGGTGTATTATACCACCATCCACTATCTTTTTTAGCAGGTTTCTACTTTTGTATCTCCTCATACACTGGATCATATGATCAAATTACCTCAGCAGCATTCTGAGAACATATAATTTGTTGTATTGTGTAGGAAATACTCAAATGACTGTGAACAATCAAATTGTAGTTGGGACACTGATGAATTTGTCAGATAATCCTACAAGAGTTAGTATTGGACAAGACTGGCGAGAAACTGATATTACAAATAGAATTCCTATTATTGTAACTGGAAATGATTTTTCAACTATTTATGCTCCACTGATTCGTGATGGGAGGATGGACAAGTTCTATTGGTAAGTGATGCTATTCAAGGATATTTTGTGTTTGTTTTCACTGGTTTGTCTCGTCATTCTTGGTCGTCTCTGGCTTGTCTCCTATAGGACATAACATGGCTGTGCTTTATCATGAATATTAGAGTAAAATGTTTTTCTTGTTAGGATAAGAGGTAAAAAAAAGGGAATTATTAGTTATTAAGGTTTGAAAGTACTTTTTTCTTTATAAGAAGGAATTTTGCAAAATAGTAGGGTTTTAAACAAATCCAGGGCAAATTAAGCATTCACAAGAGATGACCATTAACTGTCATTTATTTTCTATATCTCCCCTCCCCCCACCCCACCAAACCCAACCCACCCCTACAGATACGCACACACACAAGAAAAAAAAGTAGAAACAAGGATATTGGGAAGTTTATTGCCTCTATTGAGGGGAATGGGTTGAAATATGTGTATATGTATACATATATTTAATAGAAAAGGAAGTATTATTCAAGATAAGAATGGTATAGTTACAACAGCTGAAATTAAAAATATCCTTCAAGAGCGTCCTAAGAGAAAATTCAGAAACACAAAAAGTTTTACAACAGAATCCACAAAGTGTCAAAAATTATTGCCCCCAGTTTTGTGTATCACAGAAATAACAATATCTGAATATTACCACTATTTTGTGTTCCATTTCATTGCTAAGCTTCATATGAAACAAGGTTAAATTATTAACTTTGTCTATTTTTCCTTCTTTTGCATCCCCTTCTCTTTCCCTGCAGAGTTTTGGAATTTGGAGGCTTAGACACACGATATGCCACATGTAAAGAAAGAAACTAAGGAATGAAATTTTGGGACTTAGGCACAGGATATGTGACATGAAATAATTATCATATACCTGCCATTGCGTAGTGTCTATCTGTACTTTATCTTTCTAAAATTATGAACTAGTTTACCCTTCATTTCATTTATAAGCAGGAGATATCAGTTATTCTGTAAGCTCTATAATTTTTATCATTGAAACCTGTATGTGTTTCATATCATCTTCATTGGATTTATAAATATGAGATATCAGTTTCTATATATGTTTCATTTTTTAACTGAAAACTTTGTGTTTCATAATTGATATTTCTTTTTATTTCCATGTTGATTTAGCAGAAGTGGTGGAGCTTTAACATCCTAAGACTTATTCTTTTCTGAAACAGGCAGCCTACTCGTGACGAAATTGTGAATATTGTTCACAGAATGTATGAAAAAGATGGCATATCCAGGAAGGAGGTTGCAAGCCTTGTGGATGCGTTCCCTAATCAAGGTATCATTTTGTTCTTCATGTCTTTTGTGACTACCTATCGAATTTTTTGGATGCATTAAAGGAGAGCGGTAGTGAGTTTAGATGTTTTTTGGTATCTTACCTTGAATATGGTTTAAAAGGATAATTTCTATTTTCTTGCTGGATTGCAGCTTTGGATTTCTATGGAGCTCTTAGGTCCCGAACATACGATCGATCAATTTCTAAGGTATTAGTCCTTTTGTTGTTTGGAGATTCTAGTCTGCCTGTTAGGAACCTTTTATGCTCTTTGTTAAGGTTTCCAGTACTTAGCCTCTTATGGCATTGAAATTTGTCACATATAATCAGCACATATGTTAATCAAACTGGGACTTTCTAATTCCTTTTCTGTTTTCTGTTTTCCGTTACCAAATAAGCTAAATCATTTTTCTTCTAAGCCTTTTAAACTATATTTCCTACTCCTTTTCCATGATAGTGGGTAGATGACATTGGAGGAGCTGAAAATCTTGGCAGCAAACTTCTTAGATGGGGGAAGGACGAGAAACTTCCTGTATTTACCCCTCCAGAGGTACTTCAATGAATCATGATATTTTTTGTTAACCACCCATATAGTGTTAACCTCAAGTTGAATGTCTGCATCGCTTATCAACTATCAATTACTTCTCTGGTTCTGTTACATGAACGTGTAGGTTAGGAAAAAAAAACATCTCTTTACCTTGGAGTGATTTTGTTAGGCAGTTTTTGGGATTTCGTAGTATATGGAAGAAAGCTTATTTGTCCCTGTGCTAGGTTTATGTTGGGGTTATTCCAATCTGCCTGATGTGTCAGCATCCTCATACTCTTTGGCCCAACTTGTGGGTTGTATGGCATTTATGATTACTGTCATTGACTCATTGTTGAAAGGATATGA